GCCAGGAGCTCAGGAATAGATATCCTCTGTTTAGGGTCCCTTATTAAACAACACTATGATATAAAGAATGAATTTTTTAAGACAAAAGCAAATGTTCCTATGTGATGTTGGTACAATATTTTTTCAGATTATACCATATTACAGAAGTTGCTTTCTACATATTCTACTCAAATGGCAATAACAAGATTATTTCCCTTAAATCACTCTGGCAAATATCCAAATATTTGTAAGTTTCAAGCACCTTCAAAGTGAATATGCCTTAACAAGCTAATCAAGTAAACAATTTATTAGACTAGTTGTAACGAAGTCAATCATATGATTCCAATCAGTTAATCTCTTTCTGTTAATGAATCAATTAATTATAAGAAATATTACCTTTCCATATCTATATACTACAGGGTAAATATTAAAATTTAAGATTACCTTTAACACATCTTGAAGATCTTTCTCTGGAATATCAGGAAACGCAATCTCATGATTAGGGTCAATTATGGCATGTAACTTAGAAATCTGATTAATTATGTGCTGGAATGGTGTTTTCCCATAAGTCATATAATACAAAATGCATCCTAAGGACCAAACATCACTTTTAGGACTTATCTAAGTTAAAAAAAAAAAAAAAATTGTTATTTTAACATAAAATGTAAATTAAGAACATTTTGTATCCACACACACTTGTAAGTACACACACACATATATACATGCCCTAACATTTAAAATCAAAATTAAATATCAACGAATAAATTCCTGTTTAAGGACAAAAATAAATAAATAAATAAATAAATAAATCCCAGTGAATATGCAAGGTACATGACAATGAAAATACTAGATTATATTTACATGACAAAACATCTTTTCTAGTTTGGTTATTTCAATGGTGTGATAGTTAAGGTTTAGCATCAACTTGGCTGGGCCTGGTTTTGAGTGGCTGGGCAGCTGTATGTAGTTATTCCCTATAATGAGACTGGTAATCAACTCTGTGGTGGATTCTACTCAAGCAGCTGAGTAGATGCCTAAGGGATGTGGTCTGCTTTCAGTATACAAGGAGAAGCACTTAGAAAGTTCTCGGGACCTTTTTGGCATGCTTGGACAATGCATGTAGCCAAGTCTTCATTCAGCAGCCTGTCATGTTTCCTACTGATCTTGGGACTATCTCTGGACCTGAATTAGTGGCCTGTCATGTTTTTTGGTAATCTTGGGACTGTGCTATTTTATCTGTCGACCCTGGGTTTGTCAGCCTCGGCAACCAGCAGCTGTGTGAGTGAAGATATCTCCAGCTCCAGTGGGCTGGGAGCTAGAGGCAGAGCTTTCACCCAGTCCCTAGAGCCTGGCACTTTGAATTCTGACTGCTAGCTTCCTAAACTGTAACAGAAAAAACTCTTGCTTGTTCAAGCCATCCCATTTGTGGTATTTTCTCTTAGAGCAGCACTAGAGGTAACCAAAAAAATGGCAACAAATTTCAATTTAAATCTTTCAATAAACTACTGAAACAAAACATAAATTCTTGTCAACTTACAAAAATACAAAACTGCAAAAGTTGCAAGACCTAAGCTTAGTTGTTTCTTCCAGAATCATTAGCATATAATTTAATGAGATGTATATAAATTCAAACTATGAACAGATTTTGAAAAGGTTACTTATGTCAAAACCCAAAAGCACAAACTAAAGAGCCATGCTGTCCTGGTCTTAAATCCTAGCATTATCGCTAGCTGATAATTCTATGTATCTCTGTGTTTCTCACCTCTAAAACATAAACAGTAAAAGTAGGCTGTCAGGGCACGGTGTAGTAAATTACCTGGTATGGCTTTTCTAGCCATAAGTCTTTGTAAACTCCATGGTAGAATTTGCTGTGGGCAACTGAGGACCTCCTGATTGTAAATGTTATCCACCTGGGGTATTGCTGTTGGGAATGGCACAAAGAAATGTTCTGGAAAGTTTGCTGTCTCTCAGGTGCTTAGAATTCTGATGTTATGATTGGCTAGTTTGGCCACTCTGCCAGGCTCAAAAGAAGCCCTCTTAGAGGCAGAAGTCTCTCTGATTGCTGGCTACTGGGAAGGACGTGCTGCTGAGAGAAACGCACTCCTGAGAGAAACGTGCTCCTGAGAGATACGCGCTGCTGTGAAAGAAACGCAAGAGACACGCATTGCTGGGAGAGTGGCTGAGAGAGACTGTTGGCTGAGAGAGACTGTTGGCTGAGAGATGGCGGGCTAAGAGAGACTGAGTGTGTTCCTGAACTTGAACTGTAGCCGGGCGCTTCCTTAATAAACCCCATAATCTGTGAGTTCTGTGTGGCCACTCCACTGAATTATCGAACCCAGCAGAAAGGTGGTGAGTGCTGCAGGAGGAATGGTTGGTGTCAGAGTTGGTGAAAGGGCTGGAGGGAGGCAGCATGTCTGGCCTCCCAGGAATAGACCTTGGGCTACTGATGGTAATTCTGTCTTCCTCTTGTGGGGTTAGAGGAGGTCAGGAGATGTGGCCTCCTTGCCCTTTTAGCACAGGGGTATTAAATGATATATTCATGAAATATATAGTTCAGTATAGGGAATAGTTCCTAGTTATAGAAAGTACTCAATAAATACATTAAAATGTTCATTGTATGAAAGTATTATTAGAAATAACCAAAGTAATATATAACATAATTCCTCTTTTGACTTTAAAAAGAACATGAATACAACCAAACTTGACACAGGTATAATAAACAAGAATGGCTAAATTCCTTTTTTTAAAAGATATATACCCAAATACACATTAAAACACAACAAAATCTTGTAATATATCCTCTCCACAAGAGATAAATATTAAAACAAACAAAAAGACATAGTTGAGAGGAAAAAGAAATAAACAAATGTAAACAGGAGAGATAAAGCTATTTTATATGATAAAAGGTACAATAAACGAAGAAGATATGATAGTTATGAATACCCATGCACTGAAATTCAATACAACTATATTAAGCAAAAAACTGTATAATTTTGTGGCAGAAAAATTTTATAAAGCCTTTCAAAATATGACAAATGAAAGACTTTTAAAAATACAGATAATCTGAATAACAATCACAATATGAAGGATATATGAAATATAAAGAAATTAATACTCATTAGAGATGTTAACTGAAATACCTCAGAACATAAAAAGTGATTAATTTATACAGAATTATCCATCTCATTAAATGACAAAGAAAAAACTGCTCAGATCTTATTATCTGAATCCAATGTAAAAAAACTAAAAATTAACAAATTTCCTCTTGTTCCAGTTTAAAAACCTGGAAATCAAACTGATTTCTAAATAAAACATGGATTGAAAAGAATTTCAGATTACAGGGAAATGGCAGTGACACTACAGTTTTTTAATCTCTCCAAATTCCTTAAACAAAATCAGGTGAAAAACTATACCCACATACCCCAAAATGTAAGTGAGATAGATTATAAGAACAAGACTTGCTGGTAGTGGCATTTTAAGCAGAAAGCAGTTGGACGCAATGAAGGGACCTAACAGACCTGTAACAAAAGTCCAAAGCAGTCACAGATACTCAATGGTATAAAGGACTAATTTGAAAACAGAGCTAAAGTAGGAGAGGTTCTGCTCTTTTCAATAGATTTCACTAAATAAAATAGATAAAAATTGACAGCTGAAAAAAAAAACTCTAGGGCTGCAACTCAAATCTTTTAAAAACAACCCAGAACAGAAAAAGAAACAATTTTAAAACTAAAAATGACAAATTTTTAAATTTTATGAAAATAAGAAACACCACAGTAAAACTTGTGACTAGTAGCTAATATCAAATTCAGAGTAAAATTCCACGCTTTGATGTTTTAAATTAAAAACAATAATACTAAAATGTAGTATTTAAATGCAGAAGCTAGGAAAATAATTTACCTAAAGAGAACACAAAGAAGAAATTAACAAAGATAAAACCAAGTAGAAAGCAAATAAAAGTGTAACTGATAATTGAAGCCAAGCGCTGGTTTTTAAGATCAACATACCCTCATTAATACTAACCAAGCAAAAGAAAACATTACAAATTCAAGTGCTAGGAAAAAGGTAGAAGCTAAGCAAATATTAAAAAGAAAAAAAAAAAAGGATACTTGGCATTATTTTATGTCA